CCCCCTTTTTTTTTTTATACAGTGGGGCCTTTTTGTATTAGTTGAATTCATATTCCTTTTTAGGAGAATTTTTTTTTAAAGTGGGGTAGTAATGGGTAAATATTAAAGAAAAATTTTTAAATTAAAAATAACTTGCTGTGCCCAGCTGGTGTGGCTCAGCGGTTGAGCATCGACCTATGATCCAGGAGATCACAGTTTGATTCCTGGTCAGGGCACATGCCCGGGTTGCAGGCTCCATCCCCAGTAAGGGGCATGCAAGAGGCTGCTGATCAATGACTCACTCTCATTGATGTTTCTCTCTCTCTCTCTCTCTCCTCCCCTCCCTTCCTCTCTCTGAAATCAATAAAGACATATTTAAAAAAAAAAATAGCCTGTTGACATTGAATGATCAAGAATTATTTGTTAAATAGAAGTATTTGTCCCATCTTTGTTTCAAAGGAGCTATTCCTGGAGAGTTCAAACCCAGCATCAACTATCTCATTTGAATGGCCTTATGAGGTTTTACATGAGATATGTTTAATGTTAACAACAAATAGTATGTGTAATTGTAGATAATTAATGTTACCCCTTTCTTTTGTCTCATTCTGAACAGTTGATGATTTCAGTGACCCAGATTCAAGCAATAATATCTTTCTTTGGAAATATCATGCAGTTTCGTCAGCTCCTTATGTTGTAGGAGAAGAAAGGTAAGTCATTTTTTACACTTACTGTTGAAATAACTTTGTTAATAAATCAAAATGTTCTCTTTTTAAATGTTAGGAAACCCTTCTCTTTAGGTACAGAAAACAATGTATTATTTATTAATGCTCTATCACTTTCTCAGAAGATTCTACTGAGACTACATTATTTCAGCTCTGGAGATGATACACTGACTTTCTAAACATTATAACTAGTTTTTTTGAAACAGGACTACATTCTGTGCTCTATTTGCTAGGCTATCTTGTCTCTTTTACATAGCCATTCTCACCTGAATAATTTGTTTTTACATATATAACCACCCAACATGACTAAGTCTTAATTTAAAAATACATATATATTTTTATTGATTTTAGAGAGAGGAAGGGAGAGGGAGAGAGAGAGAGATAGAAACATCAGTGATAAGAGAGTCATTGATTGGCTGCCTCCTGCATGTCCCCTACTGGGGATTGAGCCTGCAACCCGGGCATGTGCCCTGACCAGGAATTGAACTGCGATCTCCTGGATCATAGGTCGATGCTCAACCCCTGAGCCATGCCAGTCTTAATTTTTTTGTTTTTTGCTTTTGATGTTTTCATTTTTTTATCTCTTGTGAACTGACATAATTGGATTCATTTTGTCGGTTATTACTTTAGCTAGAAACTATGTTAAGTACTAAGTCTCAGTTTTACTTAGATATTGACTTTGTTTTGGGGTTTCAGGAATATATTTTATATTTGGCAGATTAAGAGTGGAACTTTTCTTTTAGAGCATTCTTTTCTATCTTTCACAAGCATCCATTTTCATTCTTATTTGACAGCTGTTTTTTGGGCAGAATAATCTTTTTTTCTAGAGGCTTTTATGTAATCTTTCACTTGGTACTGTGATCACTTTTCCCAATTCTTTATGTGACCATCTCCAAATCATCTCCCATGTATCTCACTCCAATTCCTCATTATCCTTGTAGGAAAATTTTCCAACTCTGTACCTGTCCTCTGGCTGAAGAGCAAGATTATTAATAATTCCTTAGGATGTTACCCTAGCTCCTAATTTTGTAATGGTTCACCATCTGTTCACTGTATAAAGGGCTCAGAAATGTCTGTTGTACCTAATGCATTGCAGATGTGGAAATAATAAAATAGAATTTGCATATGTGTAAAGTGAATTAATGCTAATATGTTCCCTTGGGTTTGGCCATTTTCACATTCTTGCTATGTTTGGAGGCTTATTTTGCGACATACTTTAAATTCCTTGAGGTGAATTATGTATGTTCATCTTATTTAACTAGCATGCTTTTGGTTAAGTATGTTAAAACTCAGTTGATTAAATTTAAGTCAATAATATAAAAAGTAATGAGTTGGCCTCAGTCGGGTGGCTCAGTTGGTTGGAACGTAGTACCATGCACCAAAAGGTTTTGGGTTCGATTCTCAGTCAGGTCACATACCTAGGGTGTGGGTTTGATCCAGGTTGTGGTGTGTTCAGGAGGCAACTGATTGATATTTCTCTCTCTCTCTCCCCCTTCCTCTCTCTCTCAAATCAATAAACAAGTCCTCTGGTGAGGATTAAAATAAAAAAACTTTAAAAAAAGTAATCAGCTATTTTACAGTGTGATATTGAAAAAAATTTAACTGTATTTCTTTCTATAAGAACAGACAGCACTCTACAGTGGATAAAGATTTCCTAAGGATATTAAGTTTGATACAGGTTAATTCCACAATGATAGCAAGTGTTGGGAATTTGGCAGCCAAATGTCAAATTTCACATATAGATTTTTGCTTTCTACTGATTTTTTCCCTCCAGATGAAGAATCTTAAAATTTAAATTTGTTTAGAAGGGATTATAATGCTATTTTAGGAATTAAGAAACAGGCTTTATTTTCTGCAAATTAATTGAGCAGTAAGGGTAATCAGTGAATTGCAGCAAATACTGATAAATTTTTTTTTAAAGTCCTTAATGGAAACTTAATATTTAGGTGTTTATTTAGGAAATATTTTAGTTTGTAATAATGATTTCTACAATATTTGATTGTCCACATGTTTTAATTGCTTCAGAAAGAAAGGATGAAGCATATTGTTTAATAATTTGCATTTTAGTGTTATATTACAGTAAACACTATGATTAATCATATTTTAGACAATTTGTATACCATTAGACAAATTCAGATTTGCATTTTTTTCCTCTCCTTAATATCATAAGAGTGTTATTACTGTATCAGTTAGTAAATGTGAAGATAAAGATTGAAAATGGAGATTATTTTGGTGTGGTTTTTGGTTCATCATTTAAGGAACTTTTAGAAGTTATCACTCTATTTTAACAAGTAGGTGAAAGGTTAATATGGTGGTGGTCCATGGGCAGGCTAAATAGCCATCTCAGACTGGTGAATAAAGAAAAATTAAATTTATTAAAAGGGGATGCGGATATCCAAAGGGAAGGGCTACATAGCACTGAGCTAAAGGTCATTGGGTCTGTGATGTCAGCAAAAATATACTTGTGACAGTGAAAAAAGAAAGAGCATAGAAAAAGCAACAGGAGAACCTAGGCTGGGCTGCTTTGGCTCACTGAGAAGCCTGGAGGCCTTGGAAATAGGTTCGGGGACCTTGGAGAGAGGCTCAGAGGGTAAGCCTGGGATGAGCTCCCACTGCCCATTGCTCCCCTGGTTGCAAGTCTGTGGGGGTCCCCTTGGAGGGATGGAGATGGTGCTGGCATGCTGCCCTGGTGGTGAGCACACCCTTGGTCCTTTGTCCTGAGCATATTTATCTCTTTCTTGCAGGTGAGAATCTTAGGCGAGAGGTCTTAGGGGAGTGTCTCAATAGAATATACATCAGCCTTCCAGGTGTGCTCTTTCAGGATCATTGGTCAGTGCCAGGGTAGGGGGTCATTAGTCAATATATCTCGTCCAGAGGCAGCCAGGCGCCACTTCCCTGATTATTTGGGCCTGGAGCTGAAATACAACCGAGGCCTAGGTGTTTATCTTTAGGGAGGAACACTCAGGGGGCCTAAACCGCATGACCGGCGATCTGCGGGGGGAGGATAGATTACCCTGGGGACAAGGTTCTTGTTTTCCTAGTTTTTTCCCTTTGCCAGGCATATAGGGCTTCCTGCCCTGGTGAGTCTCCGTACTTGGGTTTCTGTACCTGGCCCATCTAACAGTAGGAAACTGAACAAACTGAAAAATCAACAGATCTTCGTAGGTGTGTCAGAGAAGTGAGGTCACAAGGCAAACTGCTGCTCCTCAAATTGGAGAGACAGGTGAATACAGAGAATGGCAACTTACCCTTGCAGAAACCCAGGAGTGGAAACTCCAAGGGAACCAATAGTGTGTAGGAAAACCTAAAGTGTAATTGATTAAATACTCTAGGGGACCCAGTAATAGGGGACTGCCACACTTTCATGGTTCTGCCTCTAGGTCTTCACAGTGAGTACCAGAGAATATCCTGTAATGCTTTGTGTAGGGGGAAGGGAAAGTAACCATTTGGGAATATGCCAAGGCATTCTGTTTTTCTTAATAAGATTACCATCAGGAGAAAGTATTTCTAGAAATACTCTAGAAAGTATTCTGGAAAGTAACTTACTAGGGTGTTGTCAGAGTCTAACTGACCTGGAGGAAGGGAAGTACCCAACTCTAGCCTGTTCTGTCTATCTCATTCCTCCTAATTGTAGGGGGTGGGAGACTGTAAAGAACTTGTTTAGGTCACAGCCTGGAAGCAAAGTCTCACTAAAAGACTGAGAACTAATTATAGGGCTATAGAAGCTTCTCCCTTCACACCTTACCACATTACTAAATACCTATTTGCTGCAGTTCGTTTTACTCAGTGCATTGTACTTGGCTTGCAAAAAATTACAAAGCATACTAAAAAGCAAAAAAACCACAGTTTTAAAAGAGACAGCAAGCAAACATCAGAGTCAGACTCAGATATGGCAGGAATATTGGAATTATCAGACCAGGAATTTAAAGCAACTGTGATTAATATGCCCAGGGCTCTAGTGGAAGAAGTAGACAACATGGAAGAACAGATGGATAATGTAAGTTAGAGAGATGGAAGTGCTAAGAAGAAATGCTAGAGATCAAAAACACTGTAACAGAAATGAAGAATGCCTTTTATGGTCTCCTTAGTAGACAGGGTACAGCTGAGGAAAGAATATCTCTGAGCTTGAAGATATATCAATAGAAACTTCCAAAACTGAAAAGCAATGAGAAAAAAGTCTGAGGAAAACAAACAGTAAAAACATATCCAAGGACTGTGAGACAGCTACAGAAAGTATAACATATGCGTAACAGGAATACCAGAAGGAGAAGAAAAGAGAAAAAGCAACAAGAGATATTTGGAACAATAATGACTGAGAATTTCCCTAAATTAATGTCAGGTTTTAAACCACATATCCAAGGAGTTCAGAGAACACCAAGGAGGATATGTGCCCTAAAAATTTCAACTAGGCATATCACATTCAAACTGCAGAAAATCAGACATACAGATAATCTTGAAAGAAGCTAGAGGGGGAAAAACCACGTTATCTATAGGGGAGCAAAAGTAAGAATTAGGGTTTTGTGATTTACCAAATGGCTGTAAACTGCTCGGCTTTTCAACTATCTCATCCCTGTTCCACTTGTTCTGGCTTCCTTGCCTGTCCCATTCCCCCTCAGAGAATTTCTAACCCAGAAATCTTTCAGGGGTGATAAGGGAGGACATCTGTCTTAAGTATTTGCTTCCTGCTGACAAGGACTGTGATCCCTGCCTATATAGTGTATGGAAGTCTCTCCCTGCCTGCTCTAAGGGAGATGAGGGAATGGGTTTGAGACTGGAACAGAGAGGCTGTTAGCTGATTCTTCCAAAGTAGGGATAGGCTGGAATTCCCAAAGCATCATCCTCTTGATATGGAATTGTATCATTCCAGAAGCGAAGTTGGTAGATTGTTCCATATTTCATTGATTCAGTTATTTAGTCCTGAAAATAAGTCAGTTTAGCTAAATTGTTGAGTCTTACTTCAGGAGGTGATGCAGATGGACTTCCAA